ATTAACGAGCTTTCACTATATATATATACGATCGGGTCAAGTGACAAGCACGTTTTTATTACGTTTGCTCATCACAAAACCAGTGCTGCTGTAGGGAAGTCGAGTGCACGTGATGTGTCTTCGTTTGAGCGAGCACAGGTGCCTATTTGTCGACAATACATACTAGAACAAATAAACAGTAATGGATGACAGAACCGCATGACGGAGATGGCCAGAAGACAAGCGCGTTGGAGTGCTATAGGGATTCGCCAGTGCTTGCGGAGAGGCTAACATGAAAAGACTGAACGGATGGTTTTATTGTCGATAGGCACGGAAGCCAAAACTCGGGCACACAAGCTGGAGCAATTGTCAAGTCGTTTTATTATGCAAAAGTGTAAAGAAATAAAAAAAGCCAGGATCAGCCCTAAATTGAGAATAAATAAAATATTTTCACACATCTTGTTCTGATTATGTGTTCAGTGTTGAATTAATTGCATTACCATAAGAACATTGTGACAGAAAGAGACGAAAACACTCAAAAGTGCAGGAACGCAAGCAGTTGTGTTCACATTTTGCAGCATTTTATCGCTCTTTTCGTCTCACAGTTTTCATATTATTCACTTCATAACTGATCACTCAATTGCCAGCATTTAAATTACAGTCACTGAAACTTGAAAGAGGCTCGAGTCCAATGTCATGAGATTGCACACATGCTAAGAATATTTTGTGGCTGTTGCATCTGATACTGCATTGTATGAATACTATAGACGTGTTTGGAGAAAGTGTGAGAAGTCTATCTTAGTTTGTGTTAAAAGAATAGTGGCAACTGCAGTTGCTGAGCTTAAATATTCTAAATGAAGTTATTAAATTTGAAACGTTTTCTGAAGCAACATACTCACAGATACTATAATTAATTTAGATGCATTAGAAAAGTGTAGCTCTTCTTGATCTCGTATAGTTGTGATCTTGTAGGATCCGAGTGAAATGGGGTCACAATTCTTACTTTCGCGACAACTGATCAGTGTGCAAGGTTCCACCTCGGGTAAGACAATGCCAAAAATTTGCAAGGGCTGCTGGTATCTAAAAGCAAGGTCGGTAAGTACCTGGTGCGCACACGCCAGACGGATATTAAAAAAAGATTTCGCAGGTCACACAAAGATACACGCACTCAATCATAACTACCGAAAGCGCGCCGCGCATGTGATTCTATGGGCGATCTCGAAAACTGTCCCCCCCTGGTGGCGCCGCAGCGGTGGTTCGGGAACTAGACCTGTCATGCCGTCTTTGGAGCACGCGGCGAGCCGTACCCGTGCACTTTTTCATCCCGCGGCCGTGAAAGTACACTGCGTTGGCGCCACAATGTGTCACAAAACGTCTTCTGTCTTTTCGGCAACGGCAGAGACCGATCAATCATTGATAATTACTTCCTCACAGATGCGGCAAGGCCTAGAGATTAGGCTTGCGCAAAGAGTGAATTTTAGGTTTGAAGCGAATAGTGATTTTGGTTGAATAATTTCGAGTCGAATTTGAATAGTCTATCTGACATATATAAATATGTCAGATATATGGGCATATTTATCATGACCTAACTAACCTACTCAATATATTTTTTTAATTAAAATTTCCTGGGTAAATGTCATTTTTATTTGTTCAAAGGAAGTCTAAACAACTATGAGTAGTAGCATAATTTGACTTCCGATAGAATTCAAGTGATAACTTGTAAAATATGTTACAATTAAAATTTACTATACTTAGAGCATATAAGCTGGCATAACAAGCTTTTAAACAACAGCAAAAAATGAATCGATGCAAGGGTAATATGCTAACTTAAAGGGGCCCTGCAGCACTTTTTCAAGTAACCATGGATTGGATTAACTAAACGCCCCGCCCCGGTGGTCTAGTGGCTAAGGTACTCGGCTGCTGACCCGCAGGTCGCGGGTTCGAATCCCGGCTGCGGCGGCTGCATTTCCGATGGAGGCGGAAATGTTGTAGGCCCGTGTGCTCAGATTTGGGTGCACGTTAAAGAACCCCAGGAGGTCGAAATTTCCGGAGCCCTTCACTACGGCGTCTCTCATAATCATATGGTGGTTTTGGGACGTTAAACCCCACAAATCAATCAATCAATCAATCAATTGGATTAACTAAACGAGCTTATTGCTTCATGAATTCAACGCCGCAAAAATTTTTAGAATTTGTCTGATATAAGCGGAGTTGCAAAGCATAGCCGCACGCTGTGATTGCAACCCCCTTTTCTCATATCGACGAAAGCAACGGAAGCTAAGCAGGGAGGGATGGCTCGGGGGTGAAAATATGTGACGCCTGTCTTGTGACCTTGCGTATGCTTTCTCTCTCTCTCTCTTTTTTTTTTTCTGCATCGAATGCGCGGCTTTTGACTGCAATCGCATACAAATGTGTGGACAAGTTGAGGCCCCAGTAATGATCACATCGCTGATACAATGGCTGTGATGAGTGACTTTTGAACTTGTAGTGCGATTTGTCGAGAGAAGGAAAAGCCATTTTCAGTTGACTTTGAGAATTTGTTGGGAATTACCAGCCATGTGCTGCACAATAATGTTTGGCTCACGTGTTCTCGGAAGCCTCGACTACCAATCGGCAGCGTTGTCAGATCATGCTCAAAAAGTGTTGCAGGGCCCCTTAAACTTTTAAGAGAAGCTTTGCAGCAAAATGAATTTCCCCTGGATAGGTGCTTTCACGGCTAAGCATGCCTACACTGATGAGAAACAACCTTTACAGGAGGTTACGTGTGGATTAATATACAACTATTTGTTCATTGCGAATACTTAGAATTTTTCAATAACTTAAGTTCGAGTTGAAGCAAATTCAAATACAGTATTATTTGTTCGAATAATCGAAGCATTCGAATGTTCGTACAAGCCTACTAGATATCCAAGGCGATGTGGCAGCCGGCAATGCACGTGACATGATTTATCGCAGACCACCTTATCACAGTCATCTGCAGCTATCTGTGCCATTGCACGTGTGGTGTGAACTGTGCGGATTGATGGTGGTACAAGCAGTACAAGCCGTACAAGCGTGGGATGTTGCCGTTTGCAAGTTCGTCGCTTCCGTGCCACGTGAGATAAAGTGCGCACAGCTTTCTAGAAATGAAAGAAGCTTGCTGGTGTCATTGGCACAAGCATCGACAAACGTTCATGCATTGACAGCGAGCGTACAGTGAATGTTTTATTAGGCGACATCCCAAGTGCGCCGTGCCTCGTGGTACATGACCAACACAGCAACGTGGAGGTGCAGTGTATGTGATGCTTACAAAATGCCGGTCTTTGCCACGTTGAACGAACAAGCGACTCTCCGCACCAGTGCACGATCCAAAATGATGCAGGCACAAAGAATGCACAAATGCATGAAATACAGCAAACGGCCTGGCAGACATAGTGTGAGCCAAGAAGGGGAAGTGCTGCTTGCAATTAGCCAGGAATGAACTGCTTCCTGTGGCGGTACTGGGCCTCAATGAAACGGTGTCAGGTCTTTGCAGAAGAGATTCAATTCACTTGTGCACGCAGCAAACGTTGCTTCACAACGCAAAAAGGCTTAACTTGTCACTAAAGAGGCTTTTAGCAAAACAGCTTTTTGAATAGCCTGTATAATGCTGTACTTCCGTCTGCACCGCGCTCCCCTAGCCACAGGTGTTGGGGCGGTGCCAAGTAGGTCACGCTTTCCCTCGCAGTGCGGGCAAGTTGACTACACTCTCTCCCTTGCCTGTTGCCACGATTCATCTCTTTCGCTTCACCCTCTCCGCTGCTCGCAAAGTTTGAGCGAACAGTCTTTCTGGGATGAAACTTACAGGAAACCCAACCTGCCCCCCGTGCCTATGCGTTTCAAACAAATGTTCACTCGAGTAAACGTTACACCGAGTTTCGCTTCAAACCAATTTCCAGCACCCGTGTCAACGCCCATTTCAACACGGTCAACGCCGTACGCATTACTGCTGTTTCACATTCCATCAGGTTTCCCTTCGGAGAGATGATCCATAATTTTTTTAAAAATAAAAATATTAAAAAAATGATTGCTCATTTAGTGCACCTTTTTGAGGGAAAGTTCGTATACGACAACTACCGATATCATAGCACTTTCGAGTTTGCTATGAATGGGTTTGGCTGTACTAGCTATTCAAAAGTCTAATTTATTATCAGATTAAATATTCAATTTCAATCCGAAACTCAAATACGAGGTCCGTTAGAAAAGTGTCCGACCCTTGGTGAAAGAAAAATAACTGGCATAATTAGAGCATAAATACGCCGATGTGCGGCCATCTTTAAGCCGGTTGTACCACTCCTTAAACTGTGTGCGGCTCATAGCATTGTCACCGAAAGCAGTCTTGATCTTTCTAATGGTTTCCACTTGGCTGTCGCCCTGTTTCTGGCAAAATTTGATGCAGTAATGCTGCTCCAGTCGCTCCGTCATTTTCCTAGCAAAGAAAAACCAACCAGAGCACCCCGCACTCACTACCTCACTCAAGCGCTGCATCCCAGCTACTGACGTTATTGGCAGGTGGGAAAAATTCACGCATACGCACGAAGCTTCAAAGTCAGCTGATGCAAGCGGGCTTGTTTCGAATCCATCAGGTGCTCGCAAAAAAAAGGTCAGATACTTTTCTAACACAGCTCATATTTGCACACACCAAATAATTATGCACAAAAAGAACTAAATTTCCACCATGTTAAATTATGAAAGAGCGCAAATTGGGATTAAATGATGTCGAAGAGCTTTGAGAACAGGAGGATATGTTGTGGTATTCTTCACATTGAGTAGTAACAATCGCGATCTGGAAGTGATAATTAAATTCTCTTCGTTGTAGCTTCTGAAGCAGCATGGGGCAGTTTTGCTATTCAAGCAGTCTTGAAGGCCACATTTCAGAGCAGCTTAGTTGCAGTTTCTTAAATTCATAGCATAGATACCGTAGCTTTGACAAAATGTAGTGCATTGGAATACCGAACCTCATATTTTTACTAAGTTCACAACAAGAAAAATGAGGTACATACACGTTTGCGCCTTGCAGATGTTGACTGAGACATCTGGTTTTTCGCATCTTCGTTTTGTTTTGCTTGCTGCAACCACCTCTGAAAAAATTAAGGAATATCAGTTATGTGTGCCACATATAATGTAAAAAAAATAAAGCATCTGTAACAAAAAAAAGACAGAACAGCAACTGCCAAATCAGAAATGATCAAACCCTATAACAAAGGCAAAAAAAAGAGAGAGGGAGAAAAAAACCTTTAAGGGGAGATGCTACTCGAAGACACATTTCTTTTTTCACCCTAGAGCAATGAAACTTGAGCTGTTTATGGAACTTCTTATGCTGATTTCAAATATATAATTAGTTTTCTTGCAAGTTACACACTTTTAGCTCTGCAACATGACAAAATGAAAACCTTAAACCTTTTGCCCCCCTCTTTTCATCCTTAAAATTCTGAATTTTTTTTACGATTCATAGTTCATAATGCTTCAAATAAAGTCTAGAGTGCAAATAACTAATTAGAAAGCACATACAAAATATGTAATACACGTGAAAAACAATACACATAAAAAGTCCATATTTCACCTTGGATTTGACAGGACTGCAAATGTTTGGATTTGCAGTCCTGTTTGGATTTTGACAGGACTGCAAAATCCAAACTAAGTCCAGTGTCATGCCATTTTGCAGCCATGTTTGTGCCACATACCGTCGTACATAATGGCAATGTCATCCCTGCTAAGTTCTCTCACTGCGAGCTCTTTCGACCTCTCAAGATTGGCGCTGACGTCATTCAATGCCGCATCACGAACTTTCCGGCTGACAGGTGTGAATGACTTTGATGCATTGGCTTTTGCAAGCAAACAACTGCCGCAAATCGGACCAGCTGCTCGTAGCCTATTCCTACAGAGCGCGCCGCACAACGGCTTTCACTTGCGAGCAATGCCTTTTTTCATTCATAAAGGAGGTAATTACACGAGAAAAGCATTGTTCAGCTGCACTGCTTGACAAGACGTGGACCCTGCAAATAGTTTTCACAGCACATACAGGCGCACAGTGGGCAATGGCGGTCCCCAATGCGTACCATGTGATAAGCCAGTCGCGGCGCTCGAAAAACGCGCAGAAGAGTGATTGTTTTTATTATTTCTTGCGCTGCATCAGCGAGAGAAACTGTTGTTATTTGAAGAGTGAGGCTCGACTCTTCGACTCATGCGATCAACAATGGCTAGCGGCGGCGCATTATCGGCGGCAAGGTGCTCGAAGACTGCACACTTTCGACCTTATAACAGGCACCTTGGGCTCTTTAGATGAAATTTTAAAGCATTTCCAGTTAGTCGCGACCTGTATTATTTTTTCAATAACAGTGGAGGTACTAATCTTGTCAAAACAGGCGAAAATAAAAAATCGGTAATTTTGAAAAAAAAAAAAAAACTCGCATTTTTCGACCCGCATCTCCCCTTAACAGCCTTATTCAGTGGTGGTCCAGCGAATTTAGAATTTGAGGGCAAGGCTGTTTAGAGCACATTTGGAGCAGAAAAAAATAGTTTGGTGTCACTAGGAATAGCACAAAACATCTGTAATATTTTAGTGCATATTCTTATTTATATGAAAACAGCAAGACAATATCGACACTCTAAATAGCAGCCAATAGTAAAACTGTTTGCTTGAAACAATATCAAACAGACTTCACAGAAACACAAATGTGCATTATGATGAAGCACTACTGACCATGCCAGCATAGCATATGGTATCAGAGAATGAGAAGTGTCAAAACGTCATTTCCTGCTAGAACTCAAAAGGAGTAGAAAGTGACTGCTCCTACAAACATGAGCAGATTTTGGCAACCATTTCAGGCGGAGGGCGAGTTGCATTAAGCAGGCTTGAAGGGGGGGGGGGGGGGGGTAAATTGTCAGACATTAAAAATGGGAACTGATGTGTGCATTTTTAAACACACAGGTCACAAGGTTGCAATTTACAAAATTAGGTTGCATTTCAGGTCAAAGCTATCACGTCAGTCTTCAAATAGGGGCGATGTCGTGTTGGGGAAAGCTGCTGATGGGGATAGTTAATACAAAAGCATGGCTTATTTGCGCTTTCGGTAACTAGACGAAATGGCCACAGAAAAAGACACACAGGGTGATGCACGTACTGTTTTAGTTATGTGTCACACCCATGCTTATGTATGTGGATAGCACATAAAATCCCATAAATAATAATTTTTTTGCACGTAAGCCCTGTTTACAACTAGGGGTACCTAAAATAGCAGCTGCACTGCCGGTGCGTGCTATATTACGATAATCTTATTAGCAGTTTGGAAAAAATTTCTTGCCTATGCATTATAGCCAGTTTTTCAACATAAGCGAAGAGCTTCAATACTGTATAACAACATGCAGAACTGCCAATAACGGCCATCTACGTATATTATAGTTTGGCCTATTATAAGCATAAATGCGTCAGTGGAAAGTGAGAAAGTGGGTTGCGTGGCAGCAAAGAAAAGGTGTGTGTATCTAGTGCCAAACCAAGCATAGTTTAGACCAGAAACGGTCCACCGCAGTTTAAATATGCGGTACTGTGAACTGTGGTGTAGTTGGCACAAGATACACTTGAATAGGTGCAGTAAGGCTCATAGATGCTGAATTGTCGCAAATTGGCACAAATGGCACATTTGCACTATAACTGCTTATTAAAATCATTTATTAAAATTATAACTGACGGATTATTATGACATATTTGAAGTGTTTCCCACTGCATGAAGAATTTCTTTACACTGAAAAATTAGTAATTGTTTTCCCCAGGTTTCCTTATAGCAGAGAGAGACATTATATAATGTGGCTCAAGGTAAAATAAAAAAGTTTTGGAAATAAAAAAAAGCTATGAAATTATTTCAAATACAATACAGTAGACTATCGGTAGACATAAATCTCTTAAACGGAACTGCTGCTTAAATGGAACAAGTGGACCTGACAGGATTGGCTTTGTTCATGTATTCTCTACACTAGTTTATCTCTCAATAAACAGAACACCTGTTAAACCGAACACATTTTCCTGGTCCCTTCATGTTCCGTTTAGCGAGACTACTGTACTTAAAGGGTGCTATTGGAAGAACTATGCTGTTCAGAAAAATTGAAAAATGTTGGCACCAAACAGAACTTTACAAAGTTTACATTTTCAATGTCATAAACTGCTCCCAATCAATTACAGCAGTGTCGTTAGTCACAATGATAAACTGGAACTCGTTATAATATGACGTGCACACGCATGTGAAATTATGAGACAAAATGTGTCCCATAACAGCCAGTAGCCCCTTCCCGATTCTGCTATGCTTTTTTGCATGACACGACTACTGTGGCAAAAATGACTTGAGCATTCTGCAACTGATTAATAAAGGCCAGACCATGTTTTATTTTTTTCTTCCTTAATCAACACGAGATTATTAATTTCGATATTTTTTTTTGCGCAGTAAAAAAAAAAAGCACGAATTAAAGGACCCCTGATACAAAACTTGGAAACTCGAGATGTTGCTGTTGTTTGATAGTCCTGCACGTGGGGCCACTTCCGACAGATCATCACTGACGAGCATTGCCTATGAGATATTTTAATTAAGTAATGGTGCAGGCTCATCGATGTAGTCAGGCCCAATTGACATTTCCAGTAGTCTCACTGTCACAAACGACTTCAATTTTCGGATTATCCGCGGGCCCCATCTTCCAAAGAGGGGCGCTTTTGTGTTCGGGGGACGACATCCGGCGACTAACGACCCAGCGTGGCGCCGGCTTGTCTTCCCTGCACCTGTACCGAAAGGGGCACCGTCGGTCCAAAAAAGGAAAATTACCCCCAGATGAGACGGGATCACGTGTACGCCGCTGAAGAGATTTTGACTGCATCGGAAAAGGCAGTTGACGTACAGCCAGCAACAAGTGCGGTCGTCGGTGTCGCGAGTCTCGCGTGGGCGACGAGCATGGAGTGACCCGCGCAACGTATTGAGACGGCTGCAATTCCGGGCACCCTCGTCGTCTACCAAGCCGGCGAGATCGTCAGCGGCACCCGTCAACTCCCCTACGTGTACCAAGAGCTGGCCTGGTCCGTATGGAACTTTTATTGTGATTTTTTTAAATCGTCAATTTATTATAACCAGCCTTTTTGTTTATATTTGTAGTTTTGTGCGCTGCGACGTACTTTGAAATTTAAAAAGTGCCACCATGATCATTCTGTAACTATTGCCTTGTATCTCCTTTGATTCATGTCATTAGTTTGTTAACATTCCGCTTATTTGTCTTTAGCCTGTGTCTTTTGTAGTGTTTTTTTTGCCATTTTGTTTCAAGAGCTGGCCTGGTCCGTATGGAACTTTTATTGTGATTTTTTTAAATCGTCAATTTATTATAACCAGCCTTTTTGTTTATATTTGTAGTTTTGTGCGCTGCGACGCACTTTAAAATTTAAAAAGTGCCACCATGATCATTCTGTAACTGTTGCCTTGTATCTCCTTTGATTCATGTCATTAGTTTGTTAACATTCCGCTTATTTGTCTTTAGCCTGTGTCTTTTGTAGTGTTTTTTTTGTCATTTTGTTATGTAGCTGTTCTTTCCATCGCGTATCAGTTTTCCTCCTTTGTTATTTTTGTTAGCCCCTGCATTTGCCCTTGTTTCAATTAAATGCTAGTTTGGTTTGCATAAAGTCTCGGTGTCTGCTCTATGAGTGCGTCGGTCAGGCTCACACATCACCACACGTGCAACCCCGCACGGGTCGGCCAACCCGCAAATAAATTCGAAATGTGCCACTTCGAGGCCTTTCAGGCGTCGCAGGTCGAAGCGTAAACGAGTCTGCCGCACGTCGATGTTGGATCGGCGGGGCCTCACCAGAAGTGCGTGACATTATCTGGCGTCCGCGACAGGACTGGCCGACCACGTGGTGACGTCTGGGAGACTGACGTATCTCTGAGCGTGCAGTATGTAGACGTCCTTTTATTGCTTTGTTGGTGGACAACAGTTTTTAGCAATGGACGACACAGAGTTTGAGAAGCTAATTGAACAGGGCAAAGCCTTTGGCTTTGTAGGCAAGCAGTTATATAATTTCGTCGAAAAAGAACGAAATAGACTTAAAGAGGAG